GTCGGGAATCGGCATACATTTAACATTCTCTCCCTCTGTAGTGCAGGGAAACGGATTGAGCTGGAAATGGCGATGGCTGCACGTCTGTGTGATGTGAAATACATAGCCACAGTGGGCGACCTGTGGCAGCACATTCGCGACCAGGCGACAGCTGCTGCCGAGGACCCCATCGGGCGCGCGAAATCTAAGCGGCCTGGTTGGTTTAATGAGATCATTGCGACGATTGGCGCGTTAGTGTCAGAGAAGAATGCATCATTTGCTGCACAGGGGGAAAACCCCAGCGACTTGGGGAAAAATAGTCAGTTTCGCAAACTTCCATGGCGACTGACTCGAGAGCTCCGTCGCATAAAATGCATGGTGGACGAAGAACAAGCACATGGAATACAACGCCGAACGCCGCAGACACAAGGAATTATTTGGCTCATCGAAGGGGGTGTATAGACCGAGATTGGAGCCTCTAATGACGCTAATCGATGGTAGCTCAAGCGCTGCTTGCATGTAGACTGCAGACATAATGCCACTCTGGTAAAATTACTTGAACGCCACTTAAACAACCGTTCCGAGGTTGACTCACCTGTATGGAACGAACTAATGCTGCACAAGGTGAAGATGAGGCTAGTAGATACAATGCACCACTTGTTGCAACGCGTGTGGAATGAGGAGGATGTGCCGCCTGAGCTGAAGGATGCCTTTGCGCTTCCATTGTACGTGAGCAATAGAAACAAGCAATGCCGTATGAATTATCGTGGTATCAACTTGCAGAGTTTTATGGGCTAGGTGATTGCCCGAATCCTGCTCAACCGCCCAGTCAGTCAAGATGTGGAACCTAAGGTCTCAGAAGAGCGTTGTAGACTCCGTTTTGGTCGCAGCACTATAGAAATGGTGTTTGTGGCTCATCAGTTGCTGGAGAAGTGCAGCGAGCGACACCACCTGTTGTACGGGCTGTTGGTTGATTTCACCAAAGCGTTTGACATGGCGAACGGTGAGGCATTATGGTTAGTATTAGGTAAGTTTGTTTGTCCTAGTAAATGTGTAAGTTTAATTGAATGATTGCACAGTGGTATGCGGGTGAGGATGCAGCTGAGTGGAGAGACCGCGGATGACTTTACAGTTGTCTCTGGTGTTAAACAAGGCTGTGTCTTAGCTGCTGTCCTGTTTAATATTTATTTTTATGCCATAAGGTGTTCCTGTGGAGCTTCGTATTGATAGTGGATTGCTTAACGCCCGTCGTTTTGGTGTAAGAATCCTAGTCTATGAGACAACTATCCGTAAGCTGCTGTTTGCTAACGATTGTGTGTTATTTGTACACAGCTCGGATGAGTTGCAACACTTGACTAGTGCTCTGGCTCACCATCAACACAAGCAAAACTGCTTGTCTCTTTCAGCATTCACTGTACGTGCAATCTGTAATGGTGCCGCGAATCGGCAATGGTGCTAAAGTATTGGAAACCACCTCTGCTACCTTGGGAGTGCGGTGTCGACTGACCAGCAACTACACAGTGAGCTTCGTATCCGCGGCTCGAAGGTAGCGGCGGCATTTCGGATGTCTGGGTACCGAGCGTATAACAACCAGCAGCCAACCGTTGACACGAAACCGATGGTGTACAAATCCATGGTGCTATCCGTTCTTCTATACGGCAGCGAAACGTGGACGATATACGCATAGGATGTGCGATATCTCGAGCGGTTTCATCAACAGTGTCTACGACGGATTCCGCGCATGTGTTGGTGCGACATAGTTGCGGACACGGAAGCGTTGCACCGAAGTGAAATGTATGCAGTGGACTGCACACTCTTGCTGAGATATCTTAGGTAGCTCGACCATGTGAGCTGTATGGATTCGACACGGATACAGAAGAAGCTGTTATACAGGCAGCTGATTGTGGGGAAGCAGTATGTGGGGAAACAGAAGCTTTGTTACCATGACATGATGAAGGTGATGATATCACGTTCTAATGTTAATTTTATGCGTTGTGATTCGAAGGCGGTTGATCGGCGTGCATGGCACGATCTGATCACGAAGGCAGTTGCCGAGGTGCATGAGAAACCCCTCGTGCATGCAGAGAAGATTTGGCAATTGCGGAAGCGACAGACGCCGATGGTGTGTACTCCATCGACATCGAGCGTATGGTGCTGTAGCACATGCTGTCGCGGGTGCCTGAGTCAGGCACGCTTAGTGAGCTACGAGGAAGACCTCTCAGGACCAGTATCGAAACTACGACGAGTGCTGATGAGAACGTAGGCAGAACCGTCGTAGCGTTCGTAAGTATGCTGCATGTGTTTTCTTCGTTTTACTAACCGCATGCTTGTATGCTGAGCTTATTTCAGGTGTTAGGTTTGCTATATTGTCTCAATGCTAATTTTGGTATCACATTTTAAAATGTACTTGAATAGTCTTCTATTTACTTGCACGTCTCGCTTAAACTAATTGTGGTTAAAGTCGCTTATTTATCTCGTTTTTTGCATGTTGTTTGCTGTTTTGTACTGCCATCTTAAATTTATCACGGAGATTTTTATAACCATTTTATTTCAAATGCTAACTTAACGACAAATCCGAATGGCGTATTTGCTCTAGTTTCTTTGATATTGTTAGTTCGGCTGATTGGCTGTTGCTTGAAATCCCCGGGGTGGTTGCGCTTGATGCGCATTTTGACAAAGGGACTGCCTGCCTATTACCCACCACATCGTCTATGCTGGTTCCAGGATACAGTTGGTCGTTGCTGGTGGTAACGTGTTGCACGATTCTCGTGGCCGTGCTAGGCTCAAATGGTGGTGCCATCTAGTTTGGAGCGGTCAACGTCGCTGCAACCGCCCTGTGTGCGCCTGATTCCCCAACCACATTGTGCTTGTGTTTGACTGTGAATGCCTGCGGGTCGGCTGCGTTGCTGAAACGTTGCTCCCATCCACATGTCTCCTGATCTTATTCCTTCGGGTTAATACAGGTTCTGGGGTGTGTGGATGGAGCTGTGGGTGGTGCAGAGCAAGCCAACCATGGTCTCTGTGCATGTGCAGGCGCAATCTGGCTGTCATGTGGAGGCGGCAGTGACAGGCAAATCCGGATCCGGATGCCGTCAACCATATGTCGCACTGGCTGCTTCTTGCAGCACTAGTTGCGAGTTATGGGAGCTTAAAACAAGTTTGGAAAAGTTCCGAGCATCGGATAGATTTGCGTACAGGTAATCTATGCGGGAAATAGGGTAGTGTTCTGACGTCACTACCTGGTTAACTATCAATATGTGGTCAGCACAGATACGGAAGGTACCACCAGGTTTTTGTAATGGAACGATTGGCATGCCCAAGAATAGTGGTGAACAGGCGATAATGTCCCACCTTTTTAATGGCACTCTAACTCTAACACAACTTTCAGGCGGATAGCAAAACATGAACTGCTTGCTTTGGAAAAGTTCGGATTGCCGTTGGGTCTGAGATCAAAAAGAATTTTACAATCACCTAGTTTGCCGGGTGATGTTTATTCAAACACACAAGCTTTCATTGTCCATATTGAAGGAATGTCTGAAATATGGTCCACGTTTTTGACAGGTTGCAGTAGTTCTGGCATATGTATGGGCCAATTGCTACCGAGTAAGGGAATGGTAAATGTGTCAGCCCCAAGAGTAAGCTTTACTTTACACCTCTCCAGTACATCGAGCGATACACCAATAGAAGAACGTAAAATAGACTATGTCCGGACCGGCGGCAGGTCTGGCAGTGTACGAATACTGACTAACGTAATCGAGGCCCGGTATCAATTTCTACGAGCACAGGTTGACCTTCCATTGCCAGTTCCATAGTGTATGCAGGTATCCCGCGCACATGGGAGGTGGTAGCATGTGAAATCAAGTAGACCATGGACTCATTGGGATTCTGGACTGTCTGTACAGTATTTGCTGGAGTGTAAGATAAATGACGTGGAAACACTGTTGAGCGTTAAATGCGTACAAGATGTCCGACGTTGCTGCGTTTGTGGCAAGTGGATTGTTTGTGTCTATAGTCAGTTACTCTTTCATGTCTCTCGCCCCACCTTTAGCAGTAAAAAAGCGTTTGTGGTTCGGCGACAGTCTAGGTCTGACCGGGTGAATTACATCTGAACGGTAATCAGGTTGGTAGTGAATTAATGGTTAAACTGTATTTTCTCTTCATCTCACTAATGTGTAAGCGCCTTCTCAATTTATCTTGCTCACTCTTACGACAGTAAAATTTCTCCAGTATTGCTGTCGACAATGCCAGCTAGAAGACATTGGATAGCCATAACCGTTTTGAATTTCGTGAACGGCATCTAATTAAAACGACAATCAGGCAGAGACTGTTTTATGCGGGTTATAAATTCCTTAAAAGTTTCTTCGTCTTCCTGCCGTAGTTAGGATAACTTTAGTCATGCACTAAATAAGTGTGCTTGTGAGCTTCAAAGAAAATCCAGAGCTTTCAGCCAATGTGACAAGAAGTGTTTTCCTACAACCGTAACGCGTCTAAATGCCTACGATCCCCTGCACCCAAGAGTCCAAGGTAGTCAAGGCTTGTTCTCTTCCTCCAAGTGCAAACTGCAAGGGATGGGTTGGAGGCCAAACGTTTCCAAAACGGATCAGGTGGAATAAACTGACTTCTAACGAGGAAATTCTGATGCAAGCTTGGTCACCAATTATGAATTATATACTTGCGGAACTAACGCTAGCCTGCGAAGCAGTAATGGCTCGTAGCCGAACGACGCAAGGATAACCGCACACAACCAGCTGGTAGCATGCAAACGTGTATTCTGGCCAGAAGGTGTACAGAGCATCCATCAAGTAACGGATGCCAGGCCACTGCTGTGTGGGAAGTCGATAGAGAAATACACGCACACGATCGATGCTTGGTGGGAACACAGCTTGGAGACGGTGATTCATACACCACATGGCCCCAGTATAACAATACTAACATGTAGGAACATTGTTAGAGACAACCAAGAGGTTGCTTTGGTGGATGCTTTTGAAGATACCATGGATAGCTAAAACGACTGAAGAAACTTTCTTGACGAAATCCAATGCTGAAAGTAAATAAATAGAACTAAGAAAATAATAATGCTCATTGGACGCGTCCATTAAAGGAAAGTAGGATCAAACCGTGACAACAGGTAAAATGAAGGTCAAAAGTGCTAAACATGGAAAAAGTGCCGGATAGTTTAAGAAGCCTGCATAGGAGATTCAACGAAACTAATGACGTACACCAACTATTGCTCAACATGGCGCCCGACACGTGCCGGCAAGGAATTTGAGTAATATGACTATTATGGGAAGTATCCTTATGTACACATTATGTTATGCGTATTCATAACAGCAAAAGTATGTCCACATGTATGATATAAGTTGACAAAACAGCTCACTAATTCGAAGAATTAAGCTGAACTGAAAGCTAAGAAAGCGTTACAGCGCACCCTAGTTGTTCCAGCCATTGGTCTTAACGGACGAATATTCTTCAAAGAGAACACTCATACGCGAAGAGTAGCCAATCGAATTTGGTACTTTGCACGTTAAGTTGATCTAGCAGCCAGACCACCCGCAAGCTGAGACTGGAGACGATAAACGCATGGCGCATAAACGTATAACTAACTGCGCTGAGACCCAAAGTGTCCTGAGGAAAACTGAGTGTCAGTGTGGCTTTGTGCGGTAACTACAGCAGCGTGCTGAAATTAGTTTAGTTGGTTTACTGTGGTTAGGTATTAAACTCATGGAGACGAATCGGTTGTTATTTCCGCAGTCCGAGTAACTCTATGATGATTGGATGTCTGATGTATGCCCGGCAAAATCCGCGCAAGTTCCGCGGAGCTATGCCAGCTCCTCAAAAGAAAGTCTGACTTGTCTGGCTTTTATACTTGCGTTTACAACCACTTGCACACGCGTAATGCATTTCATTGACCGTTAGTGACCAGTGAAGATTATTGCGCAGAGCATAACCATCAGAAAACTTTAAGGAATTTTGTCATTTATGTAATCGCAACCCGCTGTTTATAGCATGGCCCCCTAAAATTGTTTTACTCCTAAGACCCTGGAAATTTTCTGTGACTCCCAGGGAGGAGATATGGCTCCCGTCGTGAATGGCTGGTTTAGAAAACCATCAAATGAAGTAAGCATTTCCAAAGGCAACGTTCCAGTAGACATAAAATACCACCCTCAATATAACAAATTATGTGCATTTGCCAAAAAAGTGTGAAGGAATATCACGGGAACTAAAGCGAAGTTGCTGCAACATAGCGGATTCGAAAACATACCATTGAAACGAGAGCTTGACTTAACTTCCGGCTTACGATATGCTGTGTGTCGTAAACACCCTAAGCCACATATGCATCTGTTTGAATTAGTGTATAAACTGGAAGCAGTTCGATAGGAACTGTTCTGTTTTAGGCTCCAGTACAACTACACGAGGTAGAGCATGGATCCAGTGTTGTTCAAGCGGTAACAAATATGTACATATCCTATCGTAATTAGTCGACTTTCTGCATAGCTAATCACATTACACACGGTGGGTGGTTACAGCTCAAGATGGCACAGCTATCGGAAAGAAAAAAAGAACAAAAAAGGAAGTCCTAGACTCATGAATTTTACCTGGCTCCACTTAGACAATATTAACACTGTAAACCAGCTGATATCGAGTCGTGTGGATTTACAGACCATATGCGGTATGAAGGCAGCGATCCAACTGTTTCTCACTGTTAAGGATGCCCACTTTTATTCAAGTATCACACATTGTGCGCAAACATTTGATCCGATATGGTGTTGCGCGCGAATTACTGAGTGCAACCTTTGGTGGGGCCCCGTACAACCTAGTTCACACGTCATGCGCTAGTGTGTGAACTATTCTATATCCAGAATGCGACCACCGAAACAACTGTTTCATGTATAAGAAATACCAGATAGCTGACTCCGGGTGTAGTGCAGGAAAAGAGCTAAGCTAACTTGACCAGAGGAGGACATCGAAAAACTAGCAGATTCTAGTGTTGCAGCTCATATGCCTGTGTACACAAGGCACTTTTCTCAGATGTACTAAGACCTAAACCTGCAGACAGTGAACATTAGGTTATCCCAATAATTTTTGAACTAGGTTACTCCAAGTAAAATGACAGGGTTTACTTTCACAACGCAAGCAGAAGCCAACTGTATACAATAATAGCGGTCTAGTATATAAAGGAAGATTTGGAAAATTTCCACACTTCTCATCACCGGAATGCATGTCACGAACAATGTTGAGATCGGGCTCAGCCTAGCTGTTAGCTGCGATTCCTATGTCTAACAACTGGTGCACAAAAGAAAACGACTGTCCTCTAAACAATCACATTATATACAACAGTAACGGATTAATAAATGAAAGACCAAGCAACATAACTGAAAACGCAAATCATCAGAGGCAAAAGGTTTTTAGTTTTGCTCAACGATGACGCTGTTGCATCAAAGTACTACGCTAGCAAGTGGGCGCTCTGCGGTATAGCAAGTGAGTTACTAAAGCTACCTGTTTTGATAGCCTAATAAGTTCAGTCTACCCAAAATTTAGCAGATGGCAATCAGTAACGAAATAATAAGCGCTTTGAGAGTTAGGTGAAAGTGTTCAGCGCACCATTTAAAACCAGATAAAATTGAAGTCACTGAGGGATAAGAGGCGCGTCGAATTGTAGAACAAGATTTGTTTTGCACTGACAGTGAAGAAAATAGGAGTTGAATTTGGAAAATAAGCTTGTTTCTGGAGCTTCGGCATTCCCGTGGACATCGAACGCATTGGTTTGAAGCCGAGTTTCCTAGTACTTATGTAAAATTTCAGTGAGACTCGAGGATCCAAGCGCATCGAGACTCTTAGTCTGTTGAGTCAATTCGGGTGCATAAAGTTTGTTTTTATTTGACTTACCTTAATCACTCAGTGTTCTCTTTCGTCTATGGCTCAGTGGGGAGCCGTTCGTGCACACAGATCATTGTACTAAGGCAGCCATTACAGAGAGTGGTCAAAAGGGCCGACACAAAATATGCACCGCATAGCTAATCAGGACCAGATTATTTTTCTATCCCAAACACAGGACATGTGCTCTACATCTAATATGGAAGTCATGGCGACAGTCATAGCTGAGCCGCCAACGCTACAGTCGGCAATTGGGAGATAATGGGCTTACCTTTCAGCTCCCCTTTCAGTCTAATGCACAAGTACTCCCCGACCGACTAGGTTAAGGGCCTGTGACATACTTGTAGGAACTAAGTGGATTCCCAGAAGGACTTTAGATGACCTTTAAGCTGGGGCTGAAAGTATGTATTGACAAATTAAAACAAGGACTCACCAGAGATAACCAAGTGTTCTTCCGTGGGGAATCGCAGTCGAGCGCGAGACGATACGGCCCTTAAGGCGAGACAGTAGCATAAGTTCACATAACGCATGATGGTGCGCCTGATTCTGGTAGGCCTTTCCCTGTTGCCATGGCAATAAGCTGTGAGATATAGAGCGATTTGATCAGGCCACGGAAGCTCCAAAAATTGCTCCCACCAACGTCCAACGACCATTGCCACATAAAAGCCCAGTACGAAGGGAACTGGGATGATATCATTGTGTTTGTTGCAATACATGCATGCCAGTTCGAAGTACCTGATGCAAAAATAATGGTAGCTCAACCGATATTTAACTGAATGGCAAGCGGACTACGAAGACGAAAGGACAGAAATGCTGCCATGCAAATAAGTCCGGTTGCAGCGCTAAACAAAGATACAAACACACAACTCTACAAGTAACTGATGACATACTGTGTCCAGTTTCTCTCTCGGGCCCAGTGTGTGCATAGCAGAGTCCATCCCTACAGACTCCAAAACTGCAACACTTAACGAGACAGTATAGTTTTACCGCTTCGGGGACGTCATTGATTTAGTCGTTCTTTGGTAACACGGAGATGGTGCAGTCGAGATGCTAACTACATTACTCGTTAAATGGCTTGAAGCAAATGGGTAATTTAAAAAAATATGTGAAGTTGGCAGTAAATATTCATACTAGACTTGATGACTCCCATTTTTTAACCTACAAAGAGACATTCAGTCTATAGCAATTTCACTGAGCTAGGTAAATTTTGATTAAGTCAGTAGATTGGACCAGTTTGGAAATGCTTTTATGCCTAGCTTGTTCGCCCTGAGCGTCCACATACCAGTACCATTCTCGGTAAAAATTCACCTTAATTTCGGCCCCTAAATGTACGCCCCAAAAGTACAGAAAGCTTGACAGTAGTTCGTGCAGTACGTTTGGTTCTACCCTTCAAAGGTCTGTATTTCCTTTGTTTAGTGACTGGAGGATCTCAATCACTCTTCTTCGCACCTATTGCTATTGATTTTGTTAGAGTAGTCCTTGCAACGCAATTCACCAAAGAATTATGGGGGACTTTTTCAGAGGACCTTATGAACAATCGGTTAATATATCTGCTGGGCTACTTTCTTTTCTACATCAATGCTTCCTTACTCATGCAAATGTTAGCTTTGGAGATTTCCCAAGCTTCAGCAGTTAACCTGTTTTGGGTTGGTCGCAAACCCTTCCTGATAATACCGACGTTTCCGGTGTCTAGTTGATGGCCATTGCCTGTCGCATGCTTTGCGGCCGTCAAATTTCTCCGTCTATGTTGTCTATTTCTTGTGCGTAGTTCTTTTGGTGTTTGGCCTATATACACGCATGCATATCCTTGAGCGAAATACCCTAAGCAGCTAAACGCTACGCCGATGCTAGTACATTTGAAGGATGCTTTTCCTTCAAATAAGACAACTAATTGCACATGCTAAATCGTGGTTGCCGACAAGTTCTTTTGTAAAGCTGCTCCCAGGTGACCGACTTTTTACTTGGAAAACGCGGACAACGTTCCCCTCATCTTTAACAGATTCCAAACGTGCCGAGCAACGCTGGACGAATTTGCACTGGGTGTCAATCATTTTGGGCTCTGCATTGCACCCTCGAGGTGCAAAGTCCTACTCCAAGATTGGAAGAAATGCGCCCCTGCGCTGACTCTTAGTGGTGATCAACTAATAGTCGTCCAGAATTCAAGTACCTTGGCAGTTATGACAGCTCCCATGGGATCAAAAATGAAATCACAAAACCTACAGCAAAGCTCAAGGAACTTTTACCCGTGCGTTGACACGACATTGCTATCGCGCTGAAGGGCGAAACCTGACCTGTCAGGTTGACAGGCATAAAGAGGCATGTTACGCTTGATCATCGCTACCCTCACAGAATAGATCATTTCTGTTTGGAATACCACGTGAAAAATAAGTGTATTCGGCGCCGTGTGTTGGGTGCAGGTAGATTGCGTGAATTGCCCTGCGCCCCTATTTTATGCACTAGAATCCGACGTCCGGGCTAGCACACAGGCTCTCACGAAGTACGTTGTTTGCAGGCCGGGCTGTGGATAGAAGAAGAGGAAGGATGGCGAAGCGAAGAGTTGGTACAGAGAAACAAATTTCCACGCTACGAACTTGTTGTTGGTTGTTGTCTTCCGACTTGCTGGATGGAGTCCGAAGGACGATGAACAAGTTTGGTTAGATACACTTGCTGACAACACAAGGAGCCAACTGCAGTGGCGTTTGCGTTGTGAGTTTCTTTGTCCCTCCTCAACCCATTTACCTTCCCACTCCCGACGACAACGTAAGTCTTGAAGCACGATGCATTAGTAATCAGTATATTAGCTGTGGGCTTTTGTGCTCTATAATTTTTGGTCGCTTGCTTTTTCAAGTATCTTCTTCTTACCTTGTCTTCTCCTTATCTTGTCCTTATCCTTATCTTACTGCCGTGCAATAAGTGGTGTTTCCCGCCTTCAGTCAGTGCATAATAACGATGTTGATTATGATGATGGCAAGGCCTTGTAAAATACTAATACTACTAATGATATTAGTATTAATCGCAGGCGACAGATTCTCTTAAAGCCCGAGCAACTCAAACAAAAACAAAGCCGAACTTAACTGCGGTACCATTCAGTTGATGTCAATATGTAAGGTGAACACACCTCAGCTATTTCCGTTCAGTGCTGAAACAACCGGGTGTTTGCAAGTCAAACAAAAGCCAAAGGGAAGTGCAAGCCACCATGCTTTCCATTGTGCAGCCAAATCACAAAACCCAGAGTCCGTGGGTCAAATAACTCTACCCAATTGATTCCTGCGACAAAATTCGTTAGTTTCATAGGATGGTTTGGGGGGAAGGCCGGTTATGAGTTATGGGGCAAGTTGATGTTCTGAAGGAAACCAATGTCGGGCATGTGCTGTGACCCCTGGGGCAAGTTGCACAACAGGAAGCGATCTATTGTGACAGCAGGATTTGAAATAAACGCATGAAAAAGCGAACAGAAAGACAGAGGGTCTTGACAAGTAAGTGGCAGGCTGGAGTTTAACAGATGGCGCAGATGTCAGTTGTGGTGATGCATGGTAATAACCCCATATTTAACTTGCGGCTTGCATTGTAATCTCACTGTTTACAATAGTAATTTGTATTTTTTATCTTCAGGTGAAAAGCCTGGCAAGGCGCGATGATTTTTCTATCCGTTCCAAGCGCTTTCCAAGCTATCGGGTTGTGAGGGAGTACTTTTAGAAAGTCTCCATCCATTTGTTTGCTAACAGCGCCTAATAGTTCATCCACAATTCTTGCGAAAGTGCAGTCGATCATCCGAGGATACATCTCTTGTAGTAAACATTTATTTTTATTTTTTGGCAGCCGAGATTGGTTACGTACTTTGGTCACCATCTGACACACCCTAAGTTAGGCGGAAAAAATATGTTGACAGGATAGCCCTCTTCTTTAAATGGCCCTTGCATCTCCCTTGATTGATCAAACTCAAATAAGCGAAATGCTTTAACCATTTCCTGAATTCCCCTAGTGACTATCGCCAAGAAAATGTTCGGAATGTAAAAAAGCTTGTAAGTTTGTTCAATAACGATAAGAGGAGTACTCAAATAACGATGTGATAATATAAACACAGACGTCAACAAGCGTTTTATTATTTGCATTGTAAAGGGGAACCCGCCTTGTAAGCGTAAATAATCAAATATTGAAAAATTTGCGTGAAATACCTTCTGTCAAATAGCTGAACTCTAACATCAGGACGTCTGCAGCGCGCACAGCACTTTTCTAGTTTCCGTAAGAGGTTTCTAATTTAGTACCCTAAAGATGAGTTTGCAATAGCAGTTGGTACCTACATTAAAATAATCCCCATAATTCGTGGTTTTTGCCGTATAGGTAATTACTGGTACAAATAAACCATAGCCTGTCTTTCGAAATTAATGTCCTAGGTCACTTTGGACTGTATACTGCTTTAATATGCTCGGATAATACGCTGGTTCTCTACTGGTCCTACACTTGCTTTTTGGCAATTGGGGGAGGCTGGAAGTATCCGGAAAAGAAATTTACACCGAAATAAAACCCAAAGTCTGCAAATGATTCAACTTACAAGAAGTAAAGAATGAGTGCGCTCTATGTGGTAAATAACTCTCGTAAAATCTCACAATGTTACTTACAAATATTCTAGCTTCAATGTAAGCAATCCACAGGTTCGCGAGTCTAATTAATGTCGGGCTTTCAGGCTGTTATCCAACCTGTTGAAAAATGTCGTCTTTTGGGTCGAAGTGTAATCGTGAGATATGGTCCCATCCAAATGACCGTGATTAAACAAATTCAACATAGAATTAGACAAAACGAAGTTATGCCCTACTTTATATTTTATCCTGTGAAATAGCTGAAGTTGCATATCCTCTATATTTAAGTTTGTTTCAATATTTGTGGAACCCTTGGTTATGAGATGAAAATCCGCGTGATAGACAACTCTCCGATATCACCCAACGGTATTGCCCACATGTTTGAAAGCTTCGAGACGAATCTGCTTGTGCTATACGTATTGTCACGGAACCGGAATCTTTCCCAAAAGGATGTATAACCGTTACTCAAAGACGCAAGAAATTTAAGTTGGTAGATTATCTGCCGTAAATTTTAACACGTACCTTCGTGTAAGAAGCCTAATCCGGTATTAATGTCTGTTAATAAAATCACTGTTCTCTATGAATAGTATGATTCGTGTTAATTGGCTTCAGATATTTAGTGAAAGTCTCTAGATGGTTATTCTTATTTTCTGGAGCGGTTGGGTGCAACTCCAAGTCTCGACATAACTCCTGGACAGTCTAAAAGGAGTGAGGGCCAAAAGAGCATCTTCACTTCAAAGCATTCTTTTAGATTCGTGTCACAATTCTCGGCATTTTTCGAAAACAGCGATGTTCTGAATTTTGGATGGTAACCAACAAGTTACGACGGATTATAGGCAAACAGTGTCCCATCCTTGTGAACAGTTACCAGGTTCTCTAATTACCCTTGAGCACCAAAATAAATATACTATTAAAAAGTAAGTCAGCGCCTTGCATGAACATAGTAAATAGCAATAATTGATGATGGACGAACGATGGTACCCTGTTGTATACCGGTTACCTTTACTTTACGGCAGCTATAACAGCCCACTAGCTATAGTCGCATGTGGACATCTCTCTGTTTTCCTGAAGCCCACTGCAGACTTGGACCCTGATTTGGCCAGGTTGTTTTAGAAATTGCCTTTGGACGCACCATAACAATAAGCTATAAAAGCCATC